TAGTCAAGATACCTAATCCAAAACCAAAACAGTTCATCCATACACTATCAGAGCCAAAAACAGCTCGAAATTTTTTGCTAAATTCTACACCAAGCTGAAATGTGTGGGCAATTTCAGCAGAACGCAATTCGGTAAAGGATTCCGAACAACTACCGCACGGTTTATGACCTTTTAAGAAAAGGGTATTGTCAACAGCTGAAAAGCAGCAGTTATTCCTTCAGAGCTGTTAATGTACGTACGAACATTGAAAATCAACAAGGCTCTCACCTTTCTTACACTTCTCACAAACGTATATTATCGCATCGCTGCAATCATTCAACACATGATATTCATGAGAAACCGAACCTCCTATTTCTCCGCTATCTGCCTCCACAACATAAACTTTCAGACCCAATATGCCACTTAATACCCGTAAGTACAACTGCAGGAAAATTTACAATAACCGAGAAGAAAAACTGGATAAATATGACTGTTCGAAAATTATTCAAGTAAACCATCCATTAAACTCGCTCCGGATAGAATTTACTAGTTATTTAAATAAAGAAAATTATACTACAAATTAAACTTTGAAGTTTGGAAAGTCCCTTATTTCTATACGAAAATGTAACAAAACAATATAAAAAACTTCGGTGACAAAATGAGTGAAAACAACCTCTGAAAGAGTAGTGTAAGTCTTCAGTCCTTCTTCTTTACTGATATCAAAAGTGTACAGATCATTCATAAGGAATTCTCGGCTTCTAAACAAACCGAATTTCGGCCTCATTTCATCACGAAACTTGTGATTCGTTTGATATAACATGATTGGAAATGATTTGCGTTTTGGTGTACCTACATTTTAACATGGCAAAATTAGGAAATTCGTTTTTCTGTTATAAATATTGTATTTTTAACACTTAGGCAGGATTAGACTTGAGCAGAGATAAACATTTGCATCAGGAGCTGCTTGACATATAAAAACACACGCTTCGGTTTAGCAACATACCGAATCCCACGAAAATCTTAGTAATCATTTCCTCGGCCGTTGGTTGTAAACAGTATTGTCTATGATACCTATCCTCGAAAGAAAATAATTCTTTATTCATTTTTTCCCAGCGACCTGACTCCAACCATAATGATTTCGGATGTAAAAGGGGTGCATCCACTTTCAGCGCACCAAGCTGGTTAAGTTCTTCCTCGATTATAGAGACGAGTTTATCCATTACCCTTTGGCCAAAAAAAAAAGTATTTTATTGTGCTTTTAACAAGTGGATTCCTAGTTCTGTACCGAAAATAATTGTTGATTTCGTCCATGGATGTTTTTTTATTAGTAGTTTACTTTAATAAAGTTTCCTGGCAGCAACACTCGCCTACGATATTTACATCACCCTCAATGTTCAACAATGATTTCCCTACTTTCTTGAATAACCACATATAAACTGCAAAATGTTCTTATATGTTGTTAGACTTTCACCCTTAACCTTCTAGGTCCCATGCTGACTTTAACCTACGTTCCCCTATCCAGATAACTACTCGCTTTTCCAAAACCAAGTTACCGCTTTCAAAAAATCGATGAATAAAATCATTTAAACCACAAACTGCTCTCGATTTTATCACTAAACTAGCGGGTTGAATAAAGATCTGGCAGATGATTAAAAAGTTATTCTGACTGGTAATCGACCAGCAAAAACAATGTCTCTCAAATTATAACCACTTTATGTCAAAAACTCATCGACCCACAAGTGAAAAGGTGAATATTACTTCTCGCTCGTTTATGCGGGATGTTTCAGAAATTATCCTCTGACACATTCAGTGACCTTTTAGCGTAAAACGACAACTTATAACCAAAACGCTGTAAATGACAGTGGATAGTTGTGAGCTGATCAGAAACGCTCGCAAGGGAAAACGGTCTCTAAAGCTCTTCCATAATGCGTGTACAAAATAGATCCAAATCATTAAGGCAAAAGTTACTACACTTAAATCAAGGCCTTGTCTTTGAAGTCACTTGGGTCAAGTAATACAAAAAAAAAAAAATAATAATAATAATAATAGAACGTGAAAAGTCACTGAAGAGCGAGTTTTTGAAAACCAAAAGTGTACATGTGGAATTCCCATCCAGAAAACAGTTTAAACTAATTGAACAAGCTTGGAAACCTCATATATAAAACACATCAAAAATCCATGAACAAGAATATATTTCCTAAACCAAAATCAAAAACAAAAAAAAAAGCGCTCAAGTCTCTGATTCTTTTTGACGGCCTACCAATTGGGAGAATCGCGTAGAGACCTGTGTCGACTCCATATATATACCCATTCTTCAACATCAGATTGTGCGAAAGAAGCCGTGACCTATTAGCTACGGTTATCCCACCACAAAGCACTTTTGACGCAAGATGTACCACCATCAGATAAATCCTATAATACATTGTTCTGACTTCCACTATTCCTTAAAACGCAAAAAAAACTCTAGACCTGTATAATAAAGCAAAAGCTTCAAGGTTTTCTACTCTCAGCTACGCCCTTCCCAATGACAAATACCTTGTTGAGAAGCTATGCGGAAAAGCAGCTGTTCATCATTCTCAAACATGATTGCGCTTTTAAGGGAATCAAAACAAAACAAGTAACCAGGAACAAATCTTGTCCTTCAGAAACGAGCTGTGAACTACGGTATGCATCGCATCGATTGCATATTTGCAAAAAGGCTGTTGAAGTTATTGCAACATTTCAAACTTCTCAATAAATGTATTGCAAAATCAGGAACAAATTTCCGAACTAATACTTTTGCAACTAGTTGATGCGTAAACATTCTACTCACTGACTTTGCCGTGAAAAAGATATTAATGCTTGTTTGTCAAATACAC